AGCTGTTGGCCTGTCTGCCAGTCTGTCTGGCAGACCTCCATGGATGTGCAGCTTTCCTTGCCTCAGCCTAGCAGCTCTCCCCCCAACGTCTGCCTCACCTAATCTTCAAAGCTGAGCTCCTGCTCACAATAGCTTCACCGTGGCCATACCCATTAGCGACGGGGGTGTTCCCCTAATGAGCTACTCCCCTGCCTTGGCTGGCGCCGGGCTAGCCACACCTGTTTGCCATCAGGGCTGTCTCGGGCCGAGCCAGTGTGGCTCAGTTGCAGGTGGTAGAGCTGAATGAGGGGTGGGGTGGGGAAGGCTGGCTCCTTTTGCTTTGTGCTGTGTGCTTATGGGGGTGAGGGGCAGTTTCTTACACCCCCGTTTCCTCTATATTGTTCTCTTCTTTCTAAGCGGGGGGAATGCTCTTTGCTTTCTTTTCTGTTATTCAAAAGGAGTAATAAAGGAACTTGAGTATCTTGTCTCTTCTAATTTTCCCCTGGATGGAGTAGAGAGGATCTGGCTAGGGTCTGAGGGTAGGGTTTGTTCATCTGTTCTGGTGACCCTGAGGGGCTAATGTGGTGATAGCAGGTCACATGATAAATGCCAAGGGTGGACCACCTTTCTGGCCTTAGACCCCTAGTCTTTGGAAAGCAATCATGTCCCTTGAGCCCACAGGCAGGATTGGGGGACCCTTCCTTAAAGGGGCCTCTTGCATTCATGAAACTGAAGGAACTTTTGATTTGGTTGAAAAAAATCTCATTCCTTTTTATGGCCTGGACATAATTGGCTCTTTTCTATTGGCCATCAGTGATGTCATTCCGGCCCTCATAAAGAAGGGGAAATCACACCTGTGGACTCGGTGCATAAAATTTCATTGGGCAGCAGTAATAAGCATGACCAGATGATGTTTGGGCAGTTGGGTTGCTTTGTGCCCAGTGAATCCAGCTGCATGGAGACCTGGGCACCATAAACCTGCCTGCACATTCATGCCCGCAGGCTAGTCCAGGGCCCACTGCCAGTGGCTCTTTTCTTGGAATCAAGATCTGGTAGGAATGTACAGCATTCAGACCCTTTGTCCCTGGGGCACTTTTTTTTTTTTTGACAGTTTGGTGGAACCATGTACCCACTGATACCCACTGACCTTAGGCGCTTAAGAACCTTGAACCCAGGCGTGGCCTTGAGCAGTGACCACTATGCTACTTGCTTCTCTAAGGCCCCAGGCTTTGCCTTCCCAGGGACTGTAGAGAACCCTGAGTGTATCTATACAGCTTATGCCTGTGCAGTCAGAAGCTTTGGGTTCCATTTCTAGTACGACCCTTGGCTTGTTGTTTGAGCAAATCCTTTTCTTCTCTGAGCCTCAGTTTCCTCTTTTGTGTAAGGGATGATGACCACTGTAACCCACCTTCCTCACAGATTTTCTGTCTTGATCCTATCTAAGCTGGGGTAGGGTGTGTGATAGAAATATGTAGCTGTCTTCCTATGAGGCACCTGCGAGCTCAAATTCTGGCATTTGGTCCTATGTCTCTCATGAAGATGGGGCTGGGCCCTGCCACATTTGTATGGCTTGTGTCTTGGAGTCATAGGGCTAGGACCACCCAGAGGACTACTCAGCAACCTGAATCCCTGTGAGTGAATCTGCAAACTGCGTGTGTACCTGCAAGTCGCTAGAGCCCCTGAGTGAGAGTTATAGTGCCTAATCCCCATGTGCATCAGTCAGACATGGAATTCAGAATGACACTCAGGACTGCTGCTGAGCCATATCTCAGGCTGAGTATCCAACCTGACAGTCTGGTCTGTCCTCAGTGTGGCCCCTCTGGGATAGGTCTTCCTCTGAGAAGGATAGGTATGATCCCACTGACCTAGACCCTTCCTAGACAGTGGAAATGTCTACAGCTGTGTCTTCCCTTAAAATTCTGCTAAAGAGAGAGCCCCTTCTTCTCCCAGGGCTAGCCAGAGCCAAAAGGACTGCTGGCCTGTGTCATCTAAAAGAGAGTGCTGCAGTTGGCTAGGGGAGAATAAGATTGAGGCTCCCTGCCTTTTGCTGGCCAGTCCCCCTGACTTATTCCCTTTGTAGATTCTGCTGCTTCTGGTGGCCCCCTTCACTCATAGACCTTAATGTGATTTTTCTAAAATAGCTGAGTTCAGCAAGGATTTTCGCAAATACCAAGGATAAAGAACATGAAAGAAAGATTGAAGGAAATAGAATTATTGTCAGATTACAGTTCTGCTTTTTAGGCAACCACATTCTAGCTCCTAAGGCTACCTTTCATCCTTAAAAACCTTGCCTTATTTCCTCATGTTCTTGGTCCTTCATCCCACATGGGCACATCTGTCTGGATACCCCTTCATCATCTTGGCCTCAGCCAGAATTTCCCTTCCAGGAAACTGACCAGTTGTAGTTAATGTCACTGTGCCACTTGGATGTTTGAGAGTAACCTGTTCTTCAGGTGAGATATCTTGGGTCTTATAAAAGTAAATCCTTACTATACACTGCCTGAAACAAGGGGATCAATTTTCTATTAGTATCTGTCAAATATTTGAAGGGTAATGGAGGGAAGGCTGGATGGCCTTGAACTTTCTGGAGTGGAATCAGTCATCTTAACTGGATTCTTGTAGCCAAACTTTCTAGAAAAGGATTTTGCACTTGTAATCTCCACTGTCTTATCTCTCACTCTTTCCACACTTTGCAGGTTGCCTTCCGCCTCCCACACTCAGCCCACTGATCCCCCTTTCACGAAGATTATTTGTGACCTTCTCGTTACTAAATCCATTGGGTTTTTCCCAACTGTCATCTTGCTTGACCACTCTATGGCAGTTGACACTAATGACTTACATTTCAAACTCAAAAATCAGTTCTATATATTCCAGAAAGGGGAAGCATGCTTTTATCACAGTTTAGATTGACCACAGGTAATATGAAGTGAGGTCAAAAGAGCATGTCTGACTTTAGGTGTCTAATACTCTGAGAAAGGTCTGGGGCCTTGCCCTTTGGGAATGGGGATAGGTTGGGTAAGTCCTGACTCATGGCATATTGTCTCCTGAGGAACTCTTAAAGTTGATAAGGGTATGTGGGTTGGAGAAGGGTACTCTCATGGAAGCTTTCTGGACTCTCAGATCTTGGAAGAGTTCTGTGAGGAAAAGATGGAAGTCTTTTTCTCTGTATTTTCTAAAGACATACTTTGGACCCACGGGTAGATGTTACAGGGAGACAGACTTTAGTATTTAAGGAAGGATGTTCTAAGAATCGAGTCCAAAATTAGATCTGGCCGCTTCATGAAGTGAGGTCCTTGTGTGTAATGATGGTCTGATGGAGGTAACCTGGTTTCATTTTAGCTCAATAAAACTTGCAAGGCATTAGCCTGGGCCCTCTGCTCACCTCACTCTATACTGTTCCCAGGTGATCTGATTTACTCTCCTGGCTTTAATTTTACTTAGGTTATGTGAATGATTACATTAATAATGATATTAATGATTTGGCAATCTGTATTCTTATTCCAGACCTCTCTTCAAAACTGGATATCCAGTTGCCTCTGAGACACCATTTCACTGCCAAGTATCTCCTAGGCACCTCAAACTCAGCAGACATCGAGTGCTTATTGTGTGTCAGGCATATATCTACAACTGCATTCCCAACCTCATGCTTCCTTCTAGTGGCATACTAAAGATGGGGCAGGGGAGCAGTTCCCCCCGAGTTTGGGCAGAAAGTGGGTATGCTACAGGTAGAGCATTTAAAAACTGTAATAAAACTGATCAAATACTGGCTTGCTCCAGATGTCACATAGGCTCTCCATGCCACTGCGTCCTTCTTTGGATCCATCTTAGTGAGCAGCATGAAGCTAGCGAGCAGAGCTCTACTGTTTTCTCACTGGGTCCCACATTTTATTTAGTCACCGGGGCCTCCTTTACATCTTAATGTCTGTTCCTTGATCACCACCTTTACCACTACTGTTTCTCTCTCCTGGCTCCTACCCTGCTGTTTTAGTCTATTATTTTTGCTGCCTCTAGAACAGTCTTGGTAAATCACAACTCATCAGAGGCTCTCCATTGCCTGTGACAAAGCTCTTCTCTTAGGAATAAGACTATGATCTTTCCTGGCTGCTATTTCCAGTATTGTCTTCCTCCATCCTTGCATATGCCCCCACGCTCCAACTTAAGGCTGTTTTTGTCTTTCTTTCATTGCCTGTACCTCTGAACAAACTGAGCCCTTTATGGGCAAGAGTTACATCTTACTTTTTGACTCATAAGTTCCTGACCCTCGTTAAGCATCAATGCATGTTTGATTGAGTGGATTTGTCTGAGTAAAACAGCATCACCAACTAGAGGGGGAGATCGTTGATAAATTCTAATTTAAAGAAAAAAAACAAGAACAGACCCTTAAATTCTGACCTCTTCTTATCCTTCTGCCTGGCCTCTTCTCTATCTGAAACAAACCTCTAGCCAGAGGCTTAAATGTGAGCTGAAACCCCTGCTCATCTATCTCTAAATCATATGCTCTGCCTTTCTCTCCTCCTGTCTTGTCTGTCTGCCTCTCTGCTGTAGCAAAACAACAAACCAGTGCATAGAAAGAACATAGGCTTTGGAGTCAGACAGAACCGGGTTCAGTTCTTGGCACTATCATGTTTTAGCTGTGGGACCTTGGGTAACCTCTCTAAATCTCATTTTCTAGTCTGTAAAATGTAGACAACAGTACCTATGTCTCAGCATTGCATTGAAGATGAAATGTGAAAATATAAGGTGCTTGGCATACTGTAAGCCATTAGGAAATAGTGGCCTGCTGCTGTTATTTCGAAAAGAGTTTTTGGGCTCTCACACTTGGATCTGAGGGCTAGAGCTGGAGTCCGGTGTCCATGGTGCTGGAGGTGGGGTCCCTTTCTTTGGTGGGGTGGGACTCATGGCTAATGGATTGATCTTTTGAGGTCTGTTTGTCTCATAGGCTCTGTTGGACTTCCTATCTTAAGACTTCATACCTGGGACATGGATGCGCCCAACTTGTTCTCTCTTCCCTTTTTTTGTAGGCTCCCAGGCCAGTGCCAGTACTTGGGCTTGCCAGTGGCGGATTACTTCAAGCAGTGGATTAATCTGAAAAAGGTACTGTGTCTGAGCCCCAATTGGGTGCTTCCCCTGGTGCTCTTGTGCCTCAGAGCTCCTGTCCTTTGCTTTCTTTTCTTATATCTGTTCTCCTTCCTTTTCTTTTTGTTCTTCTCTTTTCTTAACCTCTTCCTTTTCCTTAGCTAATATGCACTGAAATGTGGTTATTTCTGACAGTGGAGAGCTGCTTGGGGACCAGGCAGCTGGGCAGATTATGACACTGCCCTAGTTGGTGTCCCCCAGACATGCAGAGAAGTCCCAATTGAGGAGATTTTTGGGGGCTCTTGCTCAGAGCTGAGTCTGTGGGCAGAGTGCCTTGTCTATAGGAGAGACGTGGCACTAGCTGAGCCTCTGGGAAAGTATTCTCCTTTGTTGTTATCATGAATGTGGCCTCTGACCCTCCTGACTGGTCCTGATGTATCACTCTGGTTGGGAGGCAGAGTTCATTTAAGTTGGCTTTGTTCCTGCCTTGCTCCAGGAGAGCCTGGTTCATGTGAGGAAGAGCCATGGAATCTAGAGTCCAGTTCCCTTTGGACATGAGGGCAGAGACTGGAACTCATGTAGCATCAAACATCTGGGGAGCTGATGCTGAGGCTATGGACCGACAAGGACCCTGTGTGGCTAGGATAGTGAGCCCTGGAAGAGAACGAATCACTTAGAAAACTGTACTTTCCTAGCAGAGTATCCCTGCTCTAGAGGGATCCTTGCTCTGGGAGGCCCAGTGCACTAGGGAGACTCACCTCCATAAATCATTCTGATCTAAGGGCAGCAGTCCTGGAGCAGCCTCAGGAGCTTCATGCTACCAGTCAGAGGAAGCTCAGAGAAAAGAGAACACACCAGGGGTCAAGGTAGTGGCTCCCAGGGCGCTTAGAGAAGAGAGAGGTCAAGGGGGGTGAGGCTAGGTATGGCGAGGATTTGAGTCTTGACCTGGGCATTCAAGGAAGGTGGGATATGGATAGGAGGAGAAGAGAATGCTTTCTCGGCAGGGAGGGCAGCATGCTTTTGGTGTGTGTGGGGGCTGGAGCTAAGCAAACATGTGGAGTAGCAGTGGAAGAGAAAGCTTTATAAGTATTTGTCCCACACTGACAATGACCTTGGACTTAGTTCCATACTTTGTGGCATCATTTGTGAAGTCCTTTGCTTTCCACTGGTGGACAGGTGCTTTGCACTTGGCTTGTTTGCAGTTTGACTCCTACCCCCCTTTCCTGGTGATCTCCCACGAAACTGGGCAACTGCTGCTTACTACTCCTCTTATGCTGAAGAAGCTAGGCACTGCCCTAGCTTTGGGCCTTGCCCTATGGCCTGCCTTCTGTCTGAAATGTCCCTCAGTCATCTTCATCGACATATTCCCTGCCCTGGAAGATTCAACTCAGTTATCACTTCTGAGAAGCCCAGCAGTCAGTCTCTTGCCTTGAGGTTCCTTGGCACTTGGGAAATCACTTATCTCAGTTGAAATTGAATCCATGTGTACTTCCTTCCAGACATGGCCATCTGGATCACAGAGATGAAGTCTGGTTCCTCTCTGTGTCTCCGGTGACTAGGCCAGGGCTAGGTATAGAGTATGTGCTCAGTGAGTAATTGCTGGCTGACGGATTCATCTTTGAGGACTAGTTCCATAGAGGTCCCCCAAGGCAGAGCTAGGCATGTGGGTGGGGCTAGGCGTGTGGGTGTGGCGAGGCATGGACCCTGGAATATAGCATACCGGCTGTCAGAGCACATCTGAGCTGCTTGCTGGCCTCAGCAAATGCAATGTGAAGGCCCGGCCAGGCGAGGCAGGCGCTGACCATGAACAATTACCCTGTGAAGTTCACTAGACTTTTTGGTGTATGGATAGCTCCCTGCCTCCAGGTTCCTTGGCAGAAAGGCAGGAAAGCAGCCAACCCATGTTGTAACATTGCCACGCAGGGTCACCTTGGTGCTGCTGGCCCAAAGGGTGGGGGTAGAGGCAGGCTGCCCAGAGTCTGTTCAGCTTGGTTTCCCTGCAGACTGTGCTGACCTGAAGAGGAAGGGAATAGATACAAGGGGAAACTGAGGACTCTGTTCCTAGTTGGCCTCGTGATTTCCTTGTGTGAGGTAAGCTGAGCAAGTCTGGGAGAACAAGGGGTCTAACCCCTTCCTCTCTGTACTCTAGCCACTTTGTATTGCAAGGGTGCTTAAAGGCCCAACAGGAGAGATGGCTTAACTCTGGACTTTAGCTCAGTCCTTACCAACAGCCATTCAGGACATAGAGGCTGCTGAGTCCCGGAGGCCCAGGGGCATGGTACTCTTTCTGACCTTTATGCTGTGTGACTTGGTGCAGGCTGCACTAAGGTTCCTGCTTAAAAAGAGTAATGATAAAAGCAAAGCCAGAGAGGTCATTGTCAAGGTTGTAGGAATATTATGTAAAAGCCTTACTCCATGCCTTGTGTCCCCTGTGTGACCCAGGCTCTGGTTCTCTACAGGGTCCTCTCCTGTCCTTGATCTTACTTTGTGTTTCTCCCTTCCCTTTCTTCTCTCCTCGTCCTCCACTCCCCCAGCAGAGTATTACTCCTTGAGAAAGGTGGGGAAGGTCCTGGTCTGCTTGGTCACCTGAGACTTGCCTAGTGAGTGAGCAACTGGGGATGAATTCACCATGCCTATTTCCTAAGACCTCTAATCTGAGAAGAGGCAAAATGTCTTTCAGCTGCCCTTACTTCTCCAGAAATGGTGTGGGTTGCATCAGGAAATAGGCACTTTTCAATGGCCAAGTTTCCACATCTCCCGCTGCCACCTACTTCCCCTGTAGCAGAGTGGAGCAGGCCTGTGTTTGCTGACATTTGGAACGTCATTGAATGATCTTATATTCATATTGAGCTGTCAGCATAGAGAGGACTTGGGGCCCTGCTCCCAGCTCCCTCCAGGAGATCAGAGCTGTCACTGAGGGGCCAGAAGAATAAACACACACACACACACACACACACACACACACACACACACGCGCACATGCATAAATATACACATGTATATGCATGTGAATACATACACCCCAAGTGAGTATACTCCAGATTGCATGTCTGTATCCATACATGCGTTCATGTATATGCACATATTCATACAAGCAGTCACCTGCAGAAGTATTTGGAGACATACCCAGACATGAAGGTGTTTATACATATGTATTCATAAGGTATAAAGATAGGTGCACACAGGTAAACAGACATATGTATAAAATATATATATCTTCATCAGTAAATGAATATTCTTTTATTTTTTTTGTGAGACGGGGGATGGGTCTCACTCTGTCATGCAGGCTAGAGTGTAGTAGTACAAACACGGCTCACTGCAGCTTTGACCTCCTGGGCTCAGATGATCCTGTCACTTCAGCCTCCCAAGTAGCTGGGACTACAGGTGCCCATCACTATGCCTGGCTAGTTTTTGTATTTTTTGTAGACATGGGGTTTTGCCATGTTGCCCAGGCTGGTCTCAAACTCCTGGGCTCAAGCAGTCCGCCCTCTTCAGCCTCCTCAAGTGTTAGGATTGCAGGCATTAGTCACTGTGCCTGACCAATAAATATTTTGAATGCCTTCTGTGTGCCAGGTACTGTGTGAGGGCCTGGGGATATAAGAAGGTAGATGTTGAATAAATAATTTTAGTTGCATTGAGTAACACTAAACAGTTCAGAGTCATGGATCATATAAGAAGGAGCTAACTTAGTAGGGTGGGGTCAGAGAATTGTTCCCTGAGGAAGGATATCTAAGCTGAGACCTGAAGAGTGAGTTGGAATTGACTAAGCACAAAGTAGCGTGTGACGAGAGACTGAGATGAGGAGAAGCCTGGCAACTTTATGAAACTAGAATGTAAGTTCTAGGAGGAGAAAGAATTTGTGTCTCTTGTTCACTGCTCTACCGCCATCACTCTGAATAGTTCCTGGCACACAGATGTTTAATCCTTATTTGTTGAGTGAATGAATGCCTAAAACGTAGTGAAGGTGGCAAAAGGAGAGTGGCATGAGATGAGGCTAGAAGGAAGTCAGGAGCCTATAGACCACACTTTGATTTTGACCTTGATGTTTAGGGTAAGAGGAAGCTATTAAAGGGTATTAAATATAAGAGGGGTATCATCTGATTTGCATTCTAAGAAAGTTCTCTCTGGCCGTAGTGTAGAAGGAGTTAAGAGCAGATACAGGAGACCAGTTGCTGTTTTTCTTTATAGGGCTATGGCATTTTTGGGTGGGACAAATCATTGTGTGGGTGACATTGCTGAACTTGTAGCATCCCCAGCCCCTGTTGATTGAATACCAATAGTGCCCCTCTCTGAGTCATTGTGATAATAAAAAATATCACCCCGTATACATTTCTAGTGGCCTGGCCAGGATGGGAGTGGAGGAATACTGTCCTTGGTTGAGAACCACAGAATTAGGCTGTTTCTGTGGTCCAGGTGAAAGATGGTAATTACTTGGATTAAACTGATAGCAGTGGAAATGTAGAGAAATGGGCCAATTCCTGAGTATTAAATGGTATAGTCGGTTCTGCTATAATGCAACATATATAGATTTCTGAAAATCACTGTGCTAGAGAAAGTCATGCAATAAAAATTCAGTTAGTGACACATAAAAGAAAAGATAGGAATCTAATAAAAATGGTAGCATAGTTTTATACATTAATGCTTAAGAAATACATAAATACCACAATAAATACGGTACTTTACTCTGTAAAACCCCAAAGTTTGCTTATAGAAATGGGCATGAGAAGGGTTGCAGCTTGTGAGTTATTGTGAAGTAGTGGAAGAAGATCATCTGAAATCAGATGGAAAATTGTAACCAGATGAATGTGGTCCATAACATGCAGTGATCTAGGTGACTGGTAGATGTTTAAGACGTGTGCATGTATGTGTTTTATATATTCCTACCCAGCCCTGTTCAGTGAGGTATAGTTTCCTGTGTTTATCTAGTGTTTCTTGTGAACAAAATTGCACATAAGCAAATGTAAAATTTGTGTTACTATAAATTGTTCCCAATACATCAGTTGCATTGGACAACTTTG